AAGAAGAAGAAGAAGAAGAAGAAGAAGAAGAAGAAGAAGAAGAAGAAAGGAGAGAGGGAGGGGAAAGAGAGAGAGAGGGAGAGAGAAGAGAGACAGAGACAGAGAGACAGGGGAGGGAGGAGGAGAGACACACAGAGAAAGAGAGACAGAGAGAGAGAGAGAGAGAGACAGAGAGAGAGAGAGACTGACAGAGACAGAGAGAGACAGAGAGACAAAGAGAGACAGAGACAGAGAGAACATTACCTTTAGGAAGAGCTTACAATTCCAAGCACTGTGATAATCACTGAAGTTACAGGAAAACAAGGCAAAATCTTCAAGGACCTTACATTTTAATGGGGGAAGATAACTTTTAAAGGGGACTTTGGGGGTGGAGTGGAGGAGGATTGAAGGAGAGGGTAAGGCTTCTGGAAAGGAGAGAAATCCAGAGAGTGAGTTGAGCTCGAAGTAGGCTGGGGCCTCTCAGACCTCCTGTCACCAGGGTTGGGAAGGCTATTAGAAAAAGTGGAGAGGCCCAGAGAATGAGTTTAGCCACTTCTCATATAGAATGGATTCTTCATATTCTCTTCATGCCCATATCAGAATTGTCCATGTGCATTATGACTGAAGCCAATCACTGTTTGTGGCCTCCTGGTAAGGTACAACCAAAGCAGGATCCTCCCTACACATAATCCATTTATTCTACTTGAGGTGATTTTCATATTTTCCTGTTTTTTTATTATTTCTCAAGAACATCATTTAGGTGCACTTAAAAATTGAACACAGGGCTGTAGCTCAAGGGCTAAGCAGAGAGTTATGCTTATCTCATCCAACATCCTCCTTTTAACGATGAAGAAATTAAATGACTTTATGAAAGTCATACAGTAGTAAGCATCAGAACCAGGATTTGAATAACAGCAATAGCAATAATAGCATTTACATAAGCGCTTTAAGTTTTGCAAAGTACACATGTTATATTTGATCCTCACAACAACCCTATGAGGGAGGTGCTCATTATAAGTCCCATTTTACAGATAAGGAGACTGAGACTGAGAAAGGTTAAGTGACTTACCTAGGGTCACTCAGCCAGTGTCTGAAACAGTATATGAAGTTACACTTTCCTTATTCCAAGTCCTACACTCTATTCACTGGGCCCCCAAGTCCACCACTTGAACGAAGTCTTTTTACTCCAAAGTCACTACTATGTCCCCTGTACCACACTGGCTCCAAATAGAGTCATTTACCGTAGTGAGACATTTTTAGCTTATCATGCAACCATCTTAGAGAAAAGTAATTAAGAAGCAGACCTTTTATAGGTAGTTTTTAGTGATCATACCTCTGCTGCCTCAATGTAGTGAATAGCTTATTCTAGGGTTTTTGTTTTTTGTTGTTTTTTTTTTAGGCAATTGGGGTTAAGTGACTTGCCCAGGGTCACACAGCTAGTAAGTGTCAAGTGTTTGTTCTGAGGTCAGATTTGAACTTAGGTCCTCCTGACATCAGGGCTGGTTCTCTATCCACTGCACCACCAAGCTGCCCTTAGTTGTTTTGGTTTTTTTTTTTGTTTGTTTGTTTGTTTGTTTTTTTTAAGTTGTCCTGGGGAGGGCAAGATCTAACACGTCTACCAAGCTGGAAAGGCTTTGAGGATTGTCCTGAAACTATGCTTTACATCTGTCATCCAAGTACCAGCCTGGATAGTTTTGGGAAGGGTTCATCACCAGCTTGGCTACTCAGTGAGGAATTTTTTTATTCACATAAAAAAATGCTAACATGTGTAAAGTACTTTGCAAACCTTAAAACATTTATGCAAATGTTATTATTGCTATTATTCAAAGTCCCACCTCTAATGCTTACAACAATACCAGAGGCATTCAGCAAAAGTCATAGAAGGCAGACCTGGGAAAGACCTTAGCTTAAAAAGGCCAAGGTCTCCCCCTGCATCTGGGGTCAGCTTGAGTTGTTCTGACCTATGTCTTGCCACTGGACTCATATGGCTGCAGAGGAGAGAGTGAGGCTGATGACTGCACAGCCCTGCCTCACTTAAATCCAATACACTTGCAAGTCAAGACATTACCTTCCTGATATCATTGGTCCCCTTTGAGAACGAACAACAGTAGAAGGGGGGCAGCTAGGTGGCACAGTGGATAGAGCACTAGCCCTAGAGTGAGGAGACCTGCAATCCGGCCTCAGACACTTGTTACCTGTGTGACCCAGGGCAAGTCACTTAATCCCAATTGCCTCCCCAAAACAAACAAACAAAAATATCATGGAAGGGTGGAGACATTGGGCTAGGGAATGTCCAGCACTGAGGAAATCATAGATCCTCTGAGTATTGAGGGGAGCTGAGGCTGCAGCTATGGCTTGTGTACTTTCTTTGGTCTGACACTTCTTGCGAGATTTGCTCATGTTCCCAGCCAATTACTTGAGTTATAAACTCTTTATTGAGGTAGAGGTCTGCTTCCAATGGAGTGGAGAATGTACTATCCCAACCTTGAGGGTTTTTTCGGGGACTGTTTTCAGAGATACTTCTAGGGACCTGTAAATTTTCAGTTCTTCCAAGGTGCTATGATCAAAGGCGAGGTGTTTACTCCTTTCTTGGCCTGTGCTCTGGTCTATGAGTGACCATAAGCACTCTTTTCTCTATCTCTATTTATGTGAGGAGGATTTCCTCTCCACCACCACTACAAGCTCCACCACACCAGTGCTTCTCCCACCCCAGGACTGCCCCTCAGAACTGTGACCCAGATCCAAGCCTGGGCAAAGCAAGAGATTCCTGCCTCAGCACTGGCAGAGAGATCCCTGCAATCTCCCTCTGATCAACCACCCAATTCCCCCACAGTCTGTGGGCTGGAAACTCAGGAGGCGGCCACTGCCCCAGGCCACTCTCTGGAACTGGGGCTGAGACCTAGCTTCTCTCTCACCACAGAAACAGACTTTTCCCACTGACTTTCTAAGTTGTCTTTGGCATTCATGGGTTGAGAAGTCTGGAAACCCACCACAGCTGCCTGCGATTCAGTCCTCTGAGGCCTGCTGCAGGTTCTCTGTGGCCTGCGCCCCACGCTGAACTGTGCTCCTCCCCCAGCCCAGTGCGATATACCTTTCTGATCAACCATCCAGGTTGTCTTGGGCTGGAAATTTGTTTCACTCTGTCTTTTTGTGGGTTCTGCTGCTTTAGAATTTGTTTAGAGCCATTTTTATAGGTATTTGGAGGGGTTTGGGGGAGAGCTCAAGCAAGTCATTGCTTTCACTCTGCCATCTTCACTCCGCCGCTCATGTACTTTCTTAATTCCAAATTAGTGGTAGCCACCAACCTTTATACATGCTATGAGACAGTTATTATGTGCCCTTTGCATTTAACTCACTGTCTTTGTTACTGAAAGAACTATCTTAAAGCCAGTAAAATAGCTCTGACTTAAGAAACCCAAAACCACATTCCCTCTACCTCATAGCTCGTCCCCTTCCTGGGTGCAGTATGGATAGCTTTCCTTGGTTGTTAAGATACAGCAGCATAGAAAAACCCATTTTCTTCCCTTCTTTCACCTCCCTCTCCCACTTTTCTCAAGTCATAAGATACTTAGAGCTCCCAAGTAGAGCCTCACTTTACTGCTGGGTTTCAATTACTGCCATTGTAAGGTCACTGGATCCCTTCCCTTGAGTTTCCTCCTCCTAAACCTGATTGAATTCTTCAGAAAGTGCTTTAATAACCTACAATAGTCACCTCTGGCTTGCTAGGCCATGGCGGTCCATTGTGCTGCCATGCAGGATGTCCAGATAAGGGTGTGATTACAGGCCCTGTGCTTCCCAGGCCTGGAGAGAGCATTTGTCATCATTGCTTTCTCTGTTAACCCTATCTGGAGAGTTGTGTGGATGGGGCTTTTCTTGGCTCAGTGGGCCATACCTGGAGTCAAGCAGTGCCAGGACAGGGTTAGAGGAGGGAGAAAGAAGAGGTGATTACTTCCTGCCCCCTCCTTTCTCCAGAAGGCAGAAAATCAGCTTGGTTGAATGCAAAAAGTAAAAAGAACTGGGCACCCACAGTGTTTCATTTGCTTAATTGCTTTTCCTAGGGCTGCGGCCAAAAAGGACCCTGCGCTTGGTACTGTGGACTGCTGAGGAGCAAGGTGGCATCGGTTCACTCCAGTATTACCAGCAGCACAAGGTAAAAACTGAGCTTGGTAGAATTATGAGGTCCCTGATTACTATCTCCCTTATCCAAGTGAGCACACAGGTACAGTGTTGGGTGCCATTTCTGTACTTTCGTAAGGCATGGCAATTAACTTTGACTTGTCTAGAAGAAGCAAAGAGACCATATCGTAACTCTGACTTTATCTTCTAGACTTTTGCTATCTTGTGTATGTGGCACTGATATGTGGGATGGGTGAATATTTTCCTCCTAAGAATTGAAAGGAATGAATACTATGCTTGGAATCAGAAGACCTAGGTTCAATTTCCAGCTCTATTTATTAGCTGTGCAACCTTGGGGGAGGGAGATAGGTAGCACAGTAGATAGAGTGCTGGAACTGGACTCAGGAAGACTCATCTTTGTGAGTTCAAATCTGGCCTCAGTCATTTACCAGCTGTGTGACTCTGGGTAAGTCACTTAACCATGTTTGCCTTAGATTCCTCATCTGTAAAATGAGCTGGAGAAGGAAATGGCAAAGCACTCCAGTATCTTTGCCAAGAAGACCTCAAATGGGGTCATGAAGAGTTGGACATGACTGAAAAGACTGAACAACAATAACAAAAACCTTGGGCAAGTTGCTTATCTTCACTGAACCTTAACTTTTTCATCTGTAGAATGGGGCAATAATGCTCATCTCACAGGGTTGTTGTGAGGATCAAATGAGGAAAGTGCTTCTTAATTGGAAAGGATCATACTTGCTACTGTAAATTTTTTGTCCAAGGATAGGGGATTAAGAGGGAGCTCAGCTGGTTCAATCAGATAGGCAGCCTTAAGCTTTTAAGAACATGTATTCTTCCTCACTTAATATGGCTATTCTGGTGAATTCTCTGAATAACAATAATAATAACAACAACAACAACAACAATAGCATTTATATGGTTTTTATGTGCTAGACACTGTGCTAAACTCCTTGCAAATATTATGTCATTTGATTCTCACAACAACTCTGAGTGGTGGGAACTATCATTGTCCTTATTTTACAGCTGAAGAAACTGAGATTTAGTCATTTGCCTGAGGTCACACAGCTTGGAAGTGTCCAAGGTTAGATTTGAACTCCGGTCTTCCTGACCTTCCTGACCATTGCACCAACTAGCCAACCTTCTAGGCTCTGAAACAGCACAAGCAATGGCTTTGGACCACTGTGTGTGTGTGTGTCTGTGTGTGTGTGTGTTTGAGGTTTTCTTGTCAAAGATACTGGAGTGGTTTGCCATTTTCTTTTCCAGCTTATTTTATAGATGAGTTAAACAGGGTTAAATGACTTGCCTAGGGTCACGTTGCTAGTAAGTGTCTGAAGCTGGATTCGAACTTAGGAAGATGAGTCTTCCTGACTCCAGGCTAAGCACTCTGTCCACTGTGTCACCTAGCTGCCGCATTGAACCACCACAGAGACCTATGAATACACACACACACACACACACACACACACACACACACACACACACACACACACACA